AAAAAACACATGTGTTTGGTCCGTTCATATTACCGGAAAGCGTTCCGGACTATGGTATTAATATTTCAAAATATGTAAGGAACGATAAGAAATCAACAACACGTCGGTGTCGCTCACAATCTCACACGGAAAGTCCGGGTAATGGGAGGCCACCCGCAAATGGGTAATGTTTGTTTTTCTATGTTAGAATTCAAAACATGTTTTTGGTAACGTTTAGTTTCCGCCACTGCTAAAGTTAAAACCAACCCCACAAAACGCACTAGGAATACGTGCTTAAAGTAGAAATAAATACGAAGAGGTGGTTTTAAAAAACAACAATCTTCACAGAAGAATTCCAAATAATCGGTTTGAGTATTTTTAATGCCTTCCCGTGCGCCTTCCTACCATCCCACCCACGTCCCACCTCCCACGTCCGCAGCATTTGGAACTTTCACATGGATTGCTCACCGGTATATCTACATCCATAATTGCATGTATCTGTACGTGAATCTTCGCGATCACCGCGATACGCGTTTCTTTGGGTACATGGGCATTCATATGTCTGTTCAGCAATGGGCCGCGCATTTAGGAGACACACCCCGGCAAATATTTGTCATTATCATTGATATATCTTCCCTCGTATTATTCCTTCCACTTCGGTTGTGCACGCGCGCATTGGCAAAAAATATCCGGAGTCGGAAAAAGAGGAGGATCGAACGGGAATCGGAGTCGGGGCCGGACGAAAACCCGGAGCCGGAGTCGGAGCCAGAAGCCGGAACGGGAGTCGGAATCGGAGTCGGAAGCGGAGGAAGACCGAATCGGAGTCGGAGCCGGACGAAAATCCAGAGCCGGAGTCGGCGCCGGAGGAGGCCGGAACGGGAGTCGGACTCGGAATTGGAGTCGGAAACGGAGGAAGACTGAATCGGAATCGGAGCCGGGCGAAAATCCGGAGCCGGAGTCGGAGCTGGAGGAGGCGAACTCCTTCCGCACCTAATCCAACCCTCCTAATCTCACTCACGCTCGCTCCACTCCCCCGTTGTCCTCCCGCCTCCTCCAGCCTCCTCCGCGCTCCTCCCGAAGCAAAGCACGGCCATGCAGCAACGAACGTTTCAGAAAAAACGGCGGGGGTCCGGGTGCAAAAATCCAGGGCCCGCGGTCCAAGGTCGGGCCGAGGCCCGGGGGTCCGGGCAACAAATCGGGGGTGGGGCATTTTTCTGAAACCGCGCGCACTTTTTCTGAAACCTCCCACGCTTTTTCTGAAACAACGCGCCCTTTTTCTGAAACTGCTCAGCCTTTTCCTGAAACGGCACGCCCTTTTTTCTGATACCGGCCTTTTTCTCAAACTGCTGGGCACTTTTTCTGAAACGGTTGCTGCCGGTGTTCTTCCATGTGCCTAATACAGATTGCGTTTATCTTTGGGCATTTGCCTCTGCGCCCGTTCTATCACGTTGTGGCCCTTCTTGACGGCACCGTTCAATTTATTTACGGTATTACGTCATAGATTAGTCTTCCGAAACTTCTGGATTCAATCATAAAAACGACTTCATTTTATGCTCTCAGAGAATGTATCCTACGGCGCCGCTACGGCCCTTACAAAAATATAATACAATATGCAAAACTATTAAGTAAGAGTGGAAAGTAAATGTTCGATTAACGGGAAGAAATATCTGCTGCGCCTCAATGGCTACGGATGCATGCTTCCTCCAAGCATTGCTGACAGTTAAACGTACACCGAGAAAGAGGTGGGTTGATGCTGTGCTAACGTACACCTGATGGCCGGAGCCGAGGCTCCGCCGCGCTTCCCGCGTAGGGACGACGGCTTTCGGGCCGATGGGCGCGTGTGTGTGTGTGATCTGTGTTTTGAATTGCTGACAGTTGAATAATTATGGTGCCTGAACTGGTGGGGACTGGACTGGAAAGAATGCGTGGATATTATGGAGGGCGCCAAAATGGGAGGGAATGGGAGGGCGCGGGGGAACGGGAAAAAAAAGGAACCGGAATGGGAAGGGTCCGGAATACGAAAAATGTGAGGGAACCGGAATGATAATTGGAGGGAGCCGGAACGAAAGGAATACGAATGAGGGGGGATAAGGAAAAAAAGAGGAGCAGGAAGAGGAAACAATGAGAATGGAAGAGTGGGAAAGATCCGGAACGGAGGAATTGGAGATAACCCAAAACGGGTAACCAACTACGTCACGTAAGCCGGCCACGCCACGCCAGCCGGCCAAATTGCGTCTCCTTCTTCCCCCTCCTCTTTTTCCCGTCTCCTCCTCCTCTTTTCTCCTTTTTATCCTGTTACGCTTACCTCTTTTCTCTTCGTACCCTCTTCTCTTTTCACGGGAAGGGAACTTACGGATTGCACGAAGATTTGGAGGGAATCAAAAGTATACTGAAGCTAATAGCCGTGATATTGAAACCAACAGCGTCGATACCGAAATCAATTCTCAAGACAGAAACCTATAAACAATACCGAAACCTATGGTCGATATTGAATCCCGTGCTGCCGCAATACAGTGTTTACATACACTAGGAAACGAAATTCGGATCGTTGTTTCCGGCAATATGTGCAAGCCGCAGCGCGCGGATCAATCGCAACGATTGCATGTGTAATTT